AAAAACTGAGACACTTTTCATCTATGGCAAAAGGTGCGCTAATCAAAAATAAAGGAGACACATGACAGAGAGGAGAAAAGATCAACCCATCTTTTTCTAAGTCCCTTATGTTTACATTGTGTCTATAAACACTAGTATGACTACATAACTCATGACCACGATCTATTAAGTAGTAGTTCATACATTACTGTGCTTCTAAAAAGATTTTGTAATTATTAACACCTGGTTTTCCTAATTCATACATTTACTGCAATCTTTAAATAACTTTCTGCATATGAGCATTTTTGCACCAGGATTTTTGACAGTGCCAGGAGACTCCATTCCTTGACAAACAGAACTGGGTAATGTTTTGTTTTCAGCGTTGATTCCAGGTCATTTATAAAACAATATAGTAGCCATGCAGAGAGAAACAGACATTGGCAACAAGTTTGATATTTGAGTCCATCAAGTGCCCCAAATGCCGAAGAAAGTGATTAGAAACCAAGGAACTAGGATGGTAGATGGAAGCAAAGAAAGGTTTGGTGGTTTACTGAGGTTTCTGCAGGCTGAGCTCTCTGGTAGGAACTATATAAAGCATATAGTATAAATCCCACAGGGGCCCCTGAGGCTGACCCCCTGGCTATGGAATATAAAGAACGTACTGTATGAATCCCATGAGCTTAGGTTAGGTTGGTTTATTGGATAGAATTTATTGTAGAAAGACCACAAGGGCTTTGTATAGTATGAATTCCTGTAGGTCTTACCAAAGATGGGTTGGATTCAGTTAAAGTTTTTCAAAAGTTGGCCTGGGAAGGCCTGATTGTCAAAATAAGAAAATATTAACTCTAATGCTACATTGGGAACTCCATTTCTTACAAGTTTGATAAGTTGGATAAGAAGTTGACCTTTCAGAACTCCCATTTTGGCCTCCTGGACAAGTTGTTCATCTCATCCTCCTTAGCAGCCAGACGAGGAGAACAAGATAATGTTACGCTAGCATTTACATGTAAACAATGACAGTTGCAGGCAACCCCAAAATAACGGTAGATAATAATATAGCCCTCTATTGTTATTATTGGAGGTTATTTCAGTGCTTGTCAGTGCAGATGTTACCCATGGCTAATTGTTGCCTATAACAATGCACCCTCCCAGAGACTGTCCAAAAAAATTTATATTTTCTGCAGGAAATCTAATGATCTCATTAATTCTTTGCATTGTTTCTTCTGCAAATGAATGTTGCGGAGATCAAGCACCATTTCTCCATCAACATTCTTTAATTTGATAGTCCCAATAGCAGGGGAGGGCAAGAAGTATATAACACACCAAAATCCTGCCATAAAATGACCAGCTTCAAAATGTTAAACCCTGCATTGTGTGTGTGAAACACACAATGCGCAGATAACTTTAAATAAGTGTATAGATAAATCTTAAAGTACGTAATTGAAGTATAATTACATTAAAAAAAGACTTTAAAACCATAAATATGTCACAGCAGATACTGATAATTAGCCAAATATCAAGACTTTGTGATAGGGCGAGCTTCTGCCAGGAGGTGCTCATCTTTTGGTGCTTTGAAAATCGATCTGACAAAATTGGTGGGTCAGGGGAAATTGTCAAGATTGATGAATCTAAATTTGGAAAAAGAAAATATAATGTTGCTAGAGTAATTGAAGGTTAGTGGGTTTTTGGAGGAGTATGACGCGGAATTTTTTTTCTCATGCCTGTGGAGACGCATGACTCTCTCTCTTTGCTTAATGTAATAAAGGAGTGTATCCACCCAGGGACAACAGTCATTAGTGATTGTTGGAAGGCATATAATTGTCTGGAAAAAAAGGGCTATCAACATCTAACTATGAATCCTTCATACAATTCTGTTGACCCTAAAAGTAAAGTGCACTCAAATACGATCGAGCATAAATGGAGGGAGGCATAAGCAAAAGTGCCCTGCTTCAGCAGGAGGAAGTATCCCTTCGCCGGGTACTTGTCCAAGGCCATTTTTTTTAAATGGTGTACCCCACAGAGAACAAAAGATTGCATCAGTTCCTCCTCCACGCAGATCGTCTGTACCCTCCACACTGACGGTATGAGTTGTGTATTTAGAAATAATGTCCAATCATTTGACTTCGTGGTAATAAGCAGGGAGTGGGGGGAAATATTTTTATATGTTATGCTTTTGTTACTTTGGTTCGCATGATAAGCAAATATTGTGAATTGACCATTTTTTTTCTTATGATACCGAGTTAGTACACTGTGTGTTGGGCTTGTTTACTTTCGCGGTATTTCTTTCGTTGTCCATCAGACAAAGTTTGGTTCATCTTTCTAATTATACGGCCTTTCTATTGTTATACGGAAATGAAATTTGGCTTGTCTTTCAGATAATTACACTTTTTAATGATGTTCAAATGGTATATATATTTCGACATTTACAGGTTGCTAATGACATCATGCAATCCCCCCTCCCCCCATTCCCCCAAAATGGAGCTTCGTGAACTCGATTTTACCCCTCCCCCCCTTTTGGAACTTAGTCTCTGACCTGGTGCTGACAAGGGTAAATGTTTACGACAGGACCGCACCCGTCAGAAGTCCTCGACTCCTGCCAATAAGGTTGGGGGATCCCATGGGGAATCGGGGGTTTGGGGGGAGGGGTGAATTCGTTTATACCATGCATTTTAAAATGCAAAAGTATGCGGGAAATTGAAAATCTGAGCCAAGGATAGTATTTCAGATGACAAAGAAAGTGGAAAATGTAAAAACACGAGAGAAGATTCAGCCACGGATGATTCAACACAGTGTTGCGCAAGCATCCAGTAGGATCGCCGTATGAACAAAAAAACTCTCCTAACCAGGGGGCTATGCCCCCGGACCCCCTCCCGATTGCTGTATTTCCCTATCAGGGGCTTTGCCCCCGGACCCCCTCCCGATTGCCGTATTTCCCTACTGGGGGCTCTGCCCCCGGACCCCCTCCCGATTATTTACCTTCCCTACCACAGCCTCTAGATCGCCACTGACTACATTTAGAAATTCAAAATGAGTTTACTTTGAAGTTGAGGGGACAGTGTTGGGAAGTGACGAACCGCAGACGAAATTCTATAATTGGGACACGGTTATTGTATTTCATTGAGCTTAGTGTTCCCCCCCGATATTGTAACAATTTCAGTGAGAGATCGATTTCACCGCAAAGTTGCAAAAAAATCGGAAACACAAGTAGCACGGTAAACAACCTTCACCTTTGGAACAAACAACAGGAACTGTGACAACAGAACTGTCAAATTTGCCGGGAGAAGGCAGAGATGCACAAGTATGGATGTACCGTATTTTTCTAATGAAACTATGGTATGTACACGGTAAAATCGATCACATCATGTATTTAAGGGATGAAAATTTGATAAATGTGTTTTTCGTTAAAATTTCATATAAAGTAGAATACAGAAGTACATTTTACTACAGTGTACTTATAAGAAATTTGTCGTGACGTTACGAACTGTATGCGCCAAAACAGTTCATACTCGGTTCCCGCGCAGCTAATTGGTTCGCTGTAATGCAAGGAGGGTTGGACTTAATCACAGGAGGCTTGTGGGGACTTAGTCCCCGCATGGCATTCTGCGTACCACATTTTCGTCATTTAACTCGAACAGGTTCGCTTCTGCAAATCAATTTTGATAGCAATGAATGTAGTTTTTCATTGCCTATAACAGTATGATCTTCAATTTTCTTGTAGTCAGTGCAGTCCTATCGTAAACCTTAACCCTGACAAGTTGTCTGCACGAGCAAGACAAGGAGTTCCAAACAAAACATTGGCCTCTGGGTGACATTTGTTGCAAATTATTTTCTTCATTTCTGACATTATTCAGTGAGTTTAGATTTTTTCTTTTTCTCCGTGATGCTATCCTATGGTCTCCCCGTCTTAGTGCCATTACTATGTAAAAATATACCTTCTAGTTCAGTAATAACCATACCCTTCCTACACAACCTTCTGAATGCAAATGTTGCATATAACACTATTCCCCTTGCCAAATTATGTTCACTCAAACTTCTGTGCATAGTACTAGAACTAAATGAAAGTAGACATTCCCATGCTGCACAGCCTATTCATCATGCAACAGCGCCAAGTGAGTGACCCAAGCCAGGCAGCACCAGACTGCTGCTAGCAACCACTGCCTCCCAGCACGACACAATGGGAACGGCTTCGGACAAAACGGCGACCCGCACCCTTCCCACGATCGCCCGTCTGTCCTCCAAGTGCAATTCCGAGGGCTTCAGATACGAACTCGAGGGTGAGTGAAGGCGTGTCAGGTCACGTCAAAGGAAGCCTGGACAAGGTCACCATCTGTCCCGCTTGACCTCCGACCCCCATGCCAACCTTCGTCTCTCTTGCACACCTCTCACTTCCCCTGAGTGACGTAGGGGGAGCAGAGAGGATTGCTGGCAGCTCACCTGAGTCACGCGAAGGACCTTGCAGGCGGTTTAGGTCGAAGTCCCAAGTCCCGAGAGCGACGCCATCTTCGGTCTCCGCCGGACTCAATACGACATTTTCTGATTATTTACGCCGTTTCTGGTCACTGCACTTTGTATTTCACATCCACTGCAGTCCATATGTTGCTACTTCTATGGCAAACACAGCAGTCTTGTGACGAAATTTATCAAAAACTCATAAAACTCTAATTAATGACTCCTTAAACACATATTTCTAGTGACCCAAACTTTACCAATATTTACTCTGAGAACGCAAGCACTTTTAAAAACTACTGAGGGCGCTCTTACCCCTACATATTTCATTCTACTTAGCTTTATTTATTTTTACATAATTCACATAATTTTTGGTGTATCTAATATGTAATTGGAATAAATATTCAAATAAGAATATAAAGAAACGCCATATAATCTATACCCCTTAAAAGAACAAGAAACCAATGTTTTGCTTTAGAATATATATTTTAAAAAAATCTTCATATCTTACGGATACCGAATAATCGACTAGGATCCCTAAAATCTTAAAAAGAGATAAATCCACACGCCACATCTAGCGCCTAGAATGCTGGAACGAGCGGCCGCCAGACCCTCGCCAGACGCCGGAAGAATAACACGTAGAACGATGCTCGCTGCCAGGAGACTGTTCTCGGCCCGGGGGTAGTATCTTCAAACATTAATTAGTTCATGATGAGCAATTTGGCGGCTTATGTTGGTTTCTGAGAGAGGCGGTAACCGTGTCCGATGACTTCATGAGAGCTGGTAATTTTGTTCTAAATTTACGTTGGTGGTTGATGAAGAAACTAGCTCGACACCGGCTTTAACTTCGCGTAATTTTGATCGATTTCTGGATGATTGACAGTTATTGGTTGGTAACATATCCCATGTTGTTACCAGTGTCACAGATATCTCAGTTATCATCGTTCCCAATATTTTCAAAGACAGGCTCATTCGACCTCACTCCAACCACTTCGTTATTGTTCTTCCGAGCAGGTGATGATGAAAACATTCGTTAATCATGTCAGTGAATGAAGGGGAGACATGATTAAATCGAGTTTGGCTTGATAGTGGATTGCACCTTTTCCGTTGTGGTATTTGTTACCGAGAGCGACCTACCCTCCAGAGCCCAAGTCCCAAAACCAGGGTAGCATGGGCACATAAAAATCCAAACAACCTTTCTTACCTTCTATTCATTCCTTGGACAAGGGGACAAACCCCCTTGTACCCCCCTTCACTAGCACTTGTGCCAACCCATAGAAAATGCAACATAAGAACTCTGGTTGTGTGAGGGTGATGTGGACTTATTCTCCGAGTGGTAGTATGGGATTATGACTAGTTCTTATGCTTTATGATGGTAGTGTCCATTCTCCTCTCTCTTTCAGGAACATTAACCAGCACAATTCTATGAAATTTAAGTTTGCTCAAAACACCCCACATGATAGCTGGGCAGGGAAGTGTATACTGTGGGTTAATGTTGAAGTCAGTAATTCTTTGCAGTGCAGATGCAATCAGACACCAAGACCCCAATCCTACATTGCAAAATTTATTCATCAATTAAAGTTGCTGTGACTGGGCGTGCCGTTTTGGCACTGCATGAGGGTAAGGTTGATGTGGCAGCTCCCCCCCACCAACACTCTCCTGGAAACTTTGTTTTCACCTTGATATACATGACAAAATAGAACTGAAACTTAGGAGCATCAAGTGGACTTAGGCTGTGGGTATAGTTTCTTTCACATAGTCATATGATTCAGGGTAAACTTTGTTTATAATAGACAGAACTACAAAATTTAATATTTGTTTTGGTATAGGTTACCGAGAGCGATGCGCAGAGATAGAGGGAAATAGACAACACCATCTTATAAAGCATAACCACCTAGCTTATATTTACTGGAAAATGACAAAAATGTCAGCTGCATATCACCACTCGGAGTCTAAGGCGTCTTCTGTAGCATCCTTGACTCTTAATACCATATTTAGTTTAATCCTAATCCACCGTGTCCGTACCGAAGATGACAATCGCCACTGCCAGACAGGGCGAGAATAATGTTCAGTAAAATCTGTCGTACTCATTATTCTATCACCATCGTTATTGTGTAAACATGTTGGAGAGAAGAGAAATGTCGCACATGAAATTTACTCTTTTAGGAGATTTCATGTTTTTGTTTCTCTTTCTTTCTTTTAGTAATGGTATGTTTTTGGTAATTATATTTAAGAATCTATTTTAGACATCCCTTAGGTTTCAAAATTAAATATTTTTTAATGTGTATTTCATGAAATTGAGAGACTTACTAATTTTTTCATAATGTTGATTATCTTCTGCCTACTTTTTTTTTTTTTTATCTCTGCACTGCTTTGCCCCCTAATTGTTTAAAGTGTTCTATAAAATAATATAAACTTCTCAGTTGCTTCTGAAGATCACCTTTCCCTTCTCTTCTTCCCAGACATACCTACATGATTGAAGGGAAGGCATTGAAAAGTTGTTCATATTATTAATCAGTTCTTTATGCCTTTTAATGTTCTCAAAATTGAAAACTGACTAACATCATAGTAAATTAAGAATGTTCATACCTCTATTTTCTGTACACATTTCTTCAGGATTATCTGTTTTAAATGATTTGTTCGAAATCTTGTGTTAATGGACTGTCTCTTTAAATTTCTTTCAATTCTTGTGATGTTCCTAGTCTGTGATGTGATGGTTCTGCCCTCTGCTGTTGATGTGCATGTCCTGGTCTCAGATATTTGGGCGTGTGGGAATAGGTTTTACAAATCTAAAGGCTGGGAGCTGAGGTATGTCTTGTCTTTTTACTGCTGAAAAAATTTGTGGTAATTTGAAACATTTCTGTGTAATGTTGCTCTTCACACAAAACTGTTGCATGTTGTGTAGGGTAGCGTTTGAAGCAAGTCATGCACTCATACCTGTAAATAAGCAACAAAATCAACCAAAAGATATCTATTCAACACTCACCCTTCATGTCCCTACATATATGATATAAAAGACAGTATTAAAGATATTACTTAAAGATTTGCAGTCCAGTATAAGATTTATTTGGATAAATGAACCTTGTAATATGCATTCAGACACTGCATTGTTAAAAGATTTTTCTGATAACTGATATTCATTTTTTATAGATTGGAGAAAGGTGATTGTTATAGAAAGTTATAGTCAGTCACTCAAGATCCAGTCTGATCTTCACATGATAATTATGAGGCACAAGTAGGCCTATTCATGAGGGAAATGTGATTATTTATGAAATATTCTATATTTGATAATCTAATATTTGTAGTAGTAAAATGGGTAACGAAACTGCTCTAACAACTATAAAACTTTTTTTTTTTTTTTTTTTTTTTTACAATGACACTCGTGTACAAAAATGACATTAACTGATTAATATCTATCTCAGAGTTTCCTCTTGCAGCTCTTTGCTGCGTTGAATCATGTTGAACAAGGTAAACATGTTTTCTTCAGGATGCTGTTCATGAGGTCCATAGAAAAGTATACTTGCTAATTTTGTAGTAAAGTAGTTGAGAAAAACTCGGCACGTAATTCTTTCAAACGCAATTTGTGTGACCTTGACCATATATTTGTTTTGTTTCACTAACCTGGAAATACAATTTCCTTGCACGCAGCCTCTGAACTTCAAAGATTCCTCGTGGGATTATTTTGGTTTTTATATTCATTATCATAAGTTATTTCCTTTATTAGAATATTTGATCAGTTGTTTAAATATTTATAATTTCATTTTCAGAATAAATATTTATGAAAATTCCAAGACTATTGGCCAAAAATAACTCTGAATGGCCACTCAAGCGATGGCGCCTGTGAAGTTCATGATGGACTTGTAATGTAACAGTACATGATTGGTGGGATCAACTTCTCCCTTCTGCACATATGCAAGATTAAAAAACGAGCTTAATATTAAAGCCTGATCCAGAGGTGCATTAAAAGTTAATCCTGGATGCTGCCAATGCGCATGCACACTAGAGATCTGGGTTAAACTTTAATACTGGATTAACTTTATGGGACGTACAGAAGACGCCCTATGTCCACAGCACCCTCACACAGCCAGATTTCTTAATATCCATTAGGTTGCCACAAAGTTATAGAAGATGGGGGTACAGTGTCCCCCCCCCCCCTGTGCCTAGGAAATAAATAGAAGGTAGAAGAGATTAGGTTGGGTGTGTGGATTTGCTTGATACCCTGGTTTTGGGACTTGTCTCTGGAGGGTGCATGTAGACTAGAGTATTTTTCATGCGCGTAAAACCTCATTTTGTCTACATTTGCGCAGACAGATGATGAAACAAGTGCACGGAAAGGTCAAAAGAATTATATGTGCAAAAGATGATTTTTAAAAGGACTAAGTGTGAGCGTAAAGTTACCTGAGAACTAGATTTGTGTGGACAGAATATGACCAAATAATTTTTGCGCAGGGACCATGTTCCCCGCATAGACCAAACTCTACAATCTGGGGGTGTCTCACTCTCATTAACAATTACCTTTGCTTCCAACGGCCATGTAGTATAAGGTAAAATTTGCGTTTTATGGACAGTATGACAAAAAATAAAGCCTTTTTATCTATGGTAATACTTGTGCAAGACCTAATGATAATTTAAATAGACTAAATCCCCAACTCCACGTTACAAACTTTGTTCAACAATCTTGATTCAGGAGGGGGGAAGGGCTCTGCCTGGGAAGCATAGTCTTCACCTTGTTATGCCCTGCAAGATAGAGCTGAAACTTGGGAGCAATGAGTGGACTTAAGGGGAAGAGTCGTCAGTACGGTTCACAAATTACAATTTTTTCAAACTTTGTGTGTGGATACATGACCATGTGACGCCCCCAGGGCGCCGGTTGCCAGATGCGTAACGCGCTCCTTTCCGCGGTTTAAAGGTCTGGGGTATTTAAATGCCCTCGTGCTGCCACACCCCTTTTTGCTTCATGCTTTGTTTTTCTTGTATTTTCAGCGTTTTTTCGGCTGTTTTTGCGAATTTCTTTGGTATGATACTGCTGTACAATAGTTTAGGCTGCGTTCAGCAGTCAGGCAGCAGCAACAAGGATGGGAGAACAGTGCGATTGATAAAGTTTTCGGGGGTACACATGATTTGTTTTCAACCTGTTGAAAACCTAACAATATGTCATTTATATATTAGAAATGCATAATATACGATTTATTATGTACTGAAACATTGTCGTTTCAGATAGATTTACATAAATGCTACATTTGGTACTCCTATTTATTGACTAACTCTGGTCAGAAGGAAACTGCAGTACTATTCACTATAAGGAAACCATTACATAATTTTTGAATTCTATCATCTCGCTGTTTTTACGCAGCTTTTTTAATCCAATTTCTTGTATACAAGCATCACGTACCCATGCACTTTGTGTAAAAAAATTATTGACCTACCTAAAAAACTAAAGTAAGCAGGATCGGATAACGAATTTCATGATCGTGTCGACGACTCTTCCCCTTAAGCTATGAGCAGCGCTTTCCTTCATATTTTTCCTTTATTTATTGCAATACCATTTAGACCTGCTGATTATTTCTTGTACCAGTGACTACTACTTTTTATCCTCTACAAGAATATACTCTACAATTTGCCCAAGCCTTGTACATCCTTCCCATAAAGAACAATCTATGATACTTTTGGTATAGATTTACTGGAAAATGTAATGGCACTTTAATAATTAAGGAAAAAAACTACACTAAGTAATACATGAAATAATCTGCATAGGCATAAAGTGAAGGAAATAGGTTGCAGCAAATGCTGCAGGGAGAGTAAGTCCACGGCATTCACGTGAGGGAACCAGAGGAAGAGCCCCCAATAGGGGTGAGGTCTGGGAGTAAATCCCCCCAGTTACGAAGGTGTTTGGTTCATACAGTGACGTTTGTGAATATCCAAGGAATTACTGGATTAATAGGGACTTAATCTCAGAATGATAATGTCACTTCATAAACATTACCAATACTTTCATTTGTATCATTTTCGAAGGTAAATAGCAAAAGATTCAAGCATATTACAGTGTGGATAATTTGAAAGAAGAAATGATAATTGCAGGATTTGGATGGCTATGTGAAACTAAAAAATATTAGGCACTTTTTATCAATGGCTTTTTTTATAAGAGAAAAAACTACACATTGTATAAAGTAATCTGCATTGGCAAAGAATAACATCAGAAATAAAGAAAATAAGTTGACAAAGGCTGAGCTCCGACTTAATCCACTGGGATTGGGTGTGGGTATGGGGCAAAACCGTTATTAGAGAGGACTTTTGGTTCTTTTGGTGAAGTTTTTGTATTCCCAAACCCCCTCTCCCCTAGGATATTGGCTGGGGTGATAGGGACTTGTGTTCATATTCACACACTTTGGTCACCTTTTACAGAGACTTGGACCTGGAGTTCCAGTATCTCAGTATCAGACAGTCACCATCAAGTTGCCTCAGATTGCAGCCATTCAAAGCCGATCAGGATTCTGTTGGTGACGAACCTGTATTTCTTTACAATACAGTCCCGTCAAACCATTGCTCATTGTCAAGGGGGGCTTAGGAGATAGAGCCTGAGACCAATGTAGGAGATTGCCCCTGCCTTAGGCCTCAGCCCTTGCCTCAACAAATATTGCGTGAACTTCTTTTTTCTTCTTTTATGGGGTTTTAGATATATTTTGTATGGTCTTCTCCCCCTTCCATTTTCCTTCTTTTCATCCCCTTCTATCCATTTCCTAATGTGGAAAAACCTTACTAAAAGGACAAAAGGCTGACTTTGTACCAGTCATGAACAGCCTTCAGAAGCAATGGGTACAGTATTCCCTTGGTTAATCACATAACCCTTACCTCTCATGGGGACTCTTGAGAGGTAGACTGTTTCTTTTCCCCATTTATTTCAGGCTCACCATGGCCAGTGATTGAAGATGTTCTACCCTTATTAGGGGCATTTAGGTTTACCTATTCATCAAATAGACAATCTAAATTTGATTTCATTGGTTTTCTGACCCCTGCCACTCCTTTGACCACAGCTCCAACCACTTATACTAATACCCCCTCCTCGATGTCTGCAGACAACTCTATCCTTTCCAAACCACCCGCCCAGGTCATTACACAACTTTCAGAATGCACACCTTCCTCTCTTCTAACATTTTCTCCATCTCCTACTGAACAGTCTTCATCGTCTTCCCCCTCCCCCCTCATTACCAATCTTCATCTTTATTACCCTCGTCCCCACAATAGTACTTCACCCCACACCATGTTATCTTCCTCCCACCTTAGTCCTACTGCCTCCACCTCTGCAAACCTTTTGAGCACTGTTTGGCCCAGCCAAGTGGGATTAATTCTTTGTGATTACCCCTACAGTCCCCTTACTCTGACAATACTCTTCTCTTCCCAGAATGTCTCCAAAAACAAGTAGGCAAAGTTTCCGTACACAGTCGTTCTGATCCTTCTCACTTTGTGACATTTACATCCGAGTCCCAAGCTTGTGCACTATCTACCCTGACTGACTTCAGTGGCAAACTTATTCCTGCTTAACCTCACTCCTTTCTTAATACTTGTACTGGAACGGTTTCCATCTCCCCAACTGATTGTCCTATATACGATAAAAACTCGTCGTGTGAAAATGACCTACTTGCATGCCATGTTGACGATGATGCAGTAGCAGTACAGTGCGACATTATTCCTACCAGAAGACAATGTAAGTCTCTGACCAATATTCTCAAGAATAGCTTCCGGAGACATGACCTCCCCCATGAAATTTATATTGAAGGAGTGTCCTGCCCTGTCCGACCATATCAACCCCTTCCTCGTCAAAGTCAGAAGTGTTGATGTTTTAGCCCAACCTGGCCATGACTGTTCAAACTGCCCTGCTCACCCATGTATGCGTGCCTTTTTTGGTGGCTCCCATAATGTATTTTTATAGCAGCTACCTTGCCTATAAGCTCAAATGTGAGGCAGTATAGTTCTCAGATCAAAACTTATTTTTTTTTTTACTAAATTCAGATATTCCTATCTCTACCATTTCTCTAATGCCTACACCTCTTCATTTCACATCACACCAGACAACCTAAACATTCCACTCCATCTTTACCCACCACATCCTCTCCTATACCCTTTTCTTCCTCTGCTCCTCGAACATCTGTTCCCTCTTCTCCTTCTCACAAGAAAACCTATGGTTCTCAGGCCTCCCCACCCAACTCCCCTCCAGAAACTCTTGAAGACATCTAAAAACTCCTAGACATGATCCAAGAGAATGTCCCACTCTCTCATCCACCTCCAATCCCTCTATTCCTGCTCCCTCTACATTTGATCCAAGGTTCAGTCACAGAAAATCATGTCACATAACCTGTTAGATCAGGTTTCATCACAGCCTCAACATGGATCAAATCCTGGTATTTGACTTTCTTGAGTGGTAGCTCGCCCAGTTGTGTGGCTTGTAGGCCTAGTCCACATAAACACTCATATATGGTATGGTATCATGTATGCCTCCCCCCCCTTTTTTTCTTTTTTTCTTTTTTTTTCTTTTTCAAAAACAGATTTGCTTTTTGGCTGTTTTCTAAGGTCTGTATCAAGATGGCAATATACTGTTTCCCTTGCATAAGTTCCATATCATCTCTCGGTAGATGAGGATGATATTGATGAATAACATTGTATTGCTTGTGCTTTTTTTTTTTTTTTTTTACATTTTCATGTTGTTCAATTTTCTGTAATACCCTGCACCACTAGTCAGTGTACAGGAATAGCATCCTGAGCATGGAAATAATGGCCTTCCAGGAGCCAGCACTCTTCCAGTCATGCTTATGAAATGGTACATTCCACCCTCATTTAATAGTAGTAAAGTGTCCCTTCCTAAATGCCAATTGAGTCTAATCTTCCAAGAGCTTTGAGCAGTCATGATGAGTCATTACTGTCACCCCAGCCCTCACCCAAAATTTTCATGATATATTCCCATCACCCTGACTTCAGACAAAAATTTCACTGGTGTAGTATTCCCTTCACCTAGCCAAATTTTTTCACAACTTGACAGTCATATCAAATGGATCCCATGGGTTGAATGTAGAGGAAGTTGCATATTCAATTTATCAATGAAAGAATTCTAATTCCAAACCTCTGAAACATAAATGTGGAGGGGGGGAGTAAATTTTTTTTACCAAAAACAATGATATTGTTTGGCTCACCCAGGCACCCATCATGTGTGTAAAGATAATCCAGTCCATGGTGCATGCAATGGTTCAGTTTAGGAAAATTTTAACTCATTCAGTGCTAAACAAGGCCGACACTGATTCAGACGCACAAGTCTGGGACTCGATCTGAGACTTACTTAGTCTTGGATTTACCAGTCTGTTGGCATGATAATGGTTGCTATTGGGGCTGTGAACTACTAAGTCACTGTAATGGATGAATATGTACTCCCCGTGAGCTATAAATGCATTATTTCTCTTTTGCTCTTATAAATTTCATACTAAATACTGCTCAGTGCTAATGATGTATTGCCCGGTACCTATACACACATTATTTGTCTCTCTTTCTCTTTTAAATTTGTTATTAAATACTGCCCAGTACCGCCCGACACAACCCGTTCCTAATAAATCTACTGCCCGGTAGCAATAAACACAGTATTTGTCTCCCTTTGTCTTATAAATTTCATAATAAATACTGTCCGGTACCGCCTGGTCCTGCCTGGTGCTAACATATGTACTGTCCGGTAGCTATAAACACATTATTTGTCTCTTTTTGTCATATAGATTTCATACTAAATACTGCCCAGTAGCCATAAACACATTGTTTGTCTCTTTTTGTCTTATAGATTTCATACTAGCTACCGGGCATACTAGCACCAGGCTAATACTGCCTCGTACTGCCCAGTCGCCAACCCCAAGAAAACCGCTCCTTTAAACAAGCTTTCGAACAAGTGGTCAACCATCTCTGTATCTATTTCCGTTCTCGAGATATTTTGTTTCTAAATTTGTGGTACCTCTATATGTATGTATGTATATATGTCCCAATAACAGTCGGATGGGACCCTCCTTGTATTTCGGCTTCTCTTGGGACGATTCCAATGAACCTTGCTACTCTTGAACATTGGCCCGACTAGGTTCACATCCCAATATTTCATGTTCCTATCTTGTCTGGAAACCTTTTTTCTAGAACCCTCAAAACCTGCGATTTGGTATAAACGTGCATCAACATTGGCCCCGGCTTCAGATAGAAGTTCTTGGATCTGACTTTTCGTAGGTTTTTGCTATATGGCTATGTTTTGGGAGTGGATATGAGTTAGTTTGAGTTGATTGGGTAAATATCTGGAGGAAGTTTGGGTTATGGGTCCCCGGGGCACTGGCCAGTGCAGTGATGAATACGGAATATAGAGGTGTATACTGAAATTGGTAATACCCATATTTTCCTTGGTTTTGAGTGGTATGTTCACCAAAAGTTCTCCTGAAAGCCAGTGTTATACCATTGATTAACTTTGATTACTTCTAAACAGACTGGCTGCCTTTGGAGTCAGAAGTCAGCAGAAGCACACCCTGCCAGACTTGCCCTACGATTACAATGCCTTGGAACCCGTCATCTGTGCCGAGATCATGCAACTCCATCACTCAAAGCATCACCAGACTTATGTCAACAACTTGAATGTAGCTGAGGAAAAATTAGCTGAAGCCCAAGCTAAAGGTCAGCTGAAATTTCCTTAGTTATCAACACATCTAAATAGTTTGTACAGATTTCAGGAAGTGATGACTAAATATACTAATTGTAGTTCTAGTGAATGGATTTTTAGAATTATGTATTTGTCCTCATTCTGTTTACTTCCTTGCAAAAGAAGTTAAAGATAAGTCTATAACGTTTGTCTTGCTACAATTTTAGTTGTCATATTCTCTCTCTCTCTCTCTCTCTCTCTCTCTCTCTCTCTCTCTCTCTCTCTCTCTCTCTCTCTCTCTCTCTCTCTCTCTCTCTCTCTCTCTCTCTCTCTCTCTCCCCCTCTCTCTCTCTCCCCCTCTCTCTCTCCTCTCCTCCCTCCTCTCCCCTCCCCCTCCCCCCCCCTCCCCCTCCCTCTGTCTCATCTCTCCTCTCCTCTCCTCTCCTTTCCTTTCCTTCCTTCCTTACTTTCCCTCTCCTCTTAGCTCTTTCTAATCTTTTCTCCTTTTTTCTTTTTATTTACGAATATTTTCCTGCTCCAGGTGATGTGAAACACAG